GGGAGCCCTCCCCCTCCGGCTCTCCTGTGTCTCGGTGCTGACCCGGAGCCGCGGATGTGGCTCCCCAGAGTTAGTTGCTCAGCAACCAGACTCAATTAATATGCTTTGCAGAAAGTGCAGGGGAAGCCCAGGCTGCTGTCAGTGAGGAGGCAGGAGGCTGAGGGTGACTCAGGATCCCACTCCAGCCTGACACCCATTTAGTCCCCACCTCATCTTCTCCAGTCCTCTGTTCGCCATTCTTCATCCCTTTTTCCCTCCGTACGATGACTTAGTGTGCATGTCCCCCAATCCTTCAGGCAAGGTATCTCCTGAACTCTCCTGCTTTGAGCGTTTCCTTTTCAGTTTAATTTGTTTACTTGGGTTATTTGTCGAGCGTTCTCCAGTGCTTATCTAGAAACGTTAATATTCATGCTCGATGGGAAGGGAAAGGGACGGCCAGTGTTATGGTCAGATGGTTTTAAAGATTCCTTAAGATAAGACGGGTTGTTTGGTAGTGCACAGTCGAGCAGTAGTAATGAAAATGCATCATGTGTGAATTAGGAAAGTTTTTATCTTTTCCTTTATTAAAAATAATCAGCACTCTGAACATAGGAGGCCAGAGAGGTAGTATTGATCATTGTGAAACACATAGACAGTAGAATAAATGCAGGGTTGCTTCTTTCTTCTTCTTTTCTGCATAGTAATTTCAGGGCTTCAGTAAGGTATTTTTTTCTTTTTTCTTTCTTTCTTTCTTTGATTTTCTTTGGAGTCCCTCTGATGACACTACGAATCTGGGAGTGAAGAACTTCTTAGAGCTGATTGGAAATGGCATTGCAGAGCTGAAACTTAACTGGAGGAAATATATCTCCTGAAGAAGAAAATATAATGCACTTTAAGGATCTGACTTCTAGTGAAAAATTCAAGCATAGAGAAAACTTGTCCACTTTGTTAGGAAGAATGGGTTGGACAATTTTCTTCAATTCCAAAGGATATCTGAATGCCATGCTGAGCTTAATCTCTGCAGCATGCTCTGTGCTTCTCATCTCTTCCTGATGCACTGCATGGTAAGGCCTTTTTTCTTCCTTAATAAAAATAATATTTCTGGTACGGTGAGAGTTAAATAATAATAAAATGAAAATTGAAAAAATGCAAAAAGCCGACAAAAGAACATTTGCTAGTATGATTGATTCCAGGAGCAAGTATCTTGATTCCTGCAGCAGCTTTTAAGATCATTTCTTTTTTCCTTGCTTGTTGATAGAGTGTATTTGTGTGTATGTGTTTGTGTGCACCTGTGCTGTTAGTTGTACTTGGAGAGGAAAATCAGTAGCTATATCGTATATATTTCCAGGCTAAAGCGGATATTTAAGAATTTGCTTTGACATTTCCCTTTCTTTCTCCCTTCCTCCATTCCCCCCTCCTGCCTTCTCCTTCTCTCTCTCTCCCTCTCTCTCTCTCTCTCTCGGGTCATGTGTGCTATACTTTTCCTGCACCTCAGTTGTGTACTGTCAAGCAAAAATAGAAGGTAAAAGAAATTCTATCTGGACGTAAGAAGAGTTATAAATAAGTATTATCTAAGTAAATAAAAGCTGCAGAAGGTTTTTCAATGTCTGGTACTTCCTTAATGCAAGATCTGCAGGTATGAAAGATTTACTTTATTTTGTTTCCCGTGGGAAAGAAGTGTCAAATGCAGAGCCAGATGCTGTGGTTAACATATGGAGGAAGATGGATCCTTTTACACATTTCGTAAAGTCAAAAATGACCACCTTGAACAATGATAAGGTAACTTTTGATAAGGTTGCTTCTGAGGGAAAAAATAAGGAAACCTTCTATGAGGTGTTCCTATATCAAGTGATTTCTGTCATGTATAAATGAGGTTGTTGAAAATGATTACAAATGACTTGTTTGGTGGGTGTGCAAAGTTTTGTTCATTAACAGCTGTAATGCACTTTCAACTTCTTGGATGGAACGTCCTCGTGGAGGGCAAGGTAATGTTATTAGCTAACTCTCCAACTAGCCAAAAGTTAGGGTTGTAGTCAGGAAATTGCCAAGCAGATCAGGACTTACAATGTGACTGTACTGAACTGCAAGAACAGTTTAGATTTCCAGAAAGCATAGTTTATATGGATACCTATTTTAAAAATTAGGGTAGAACAAAAAGATGAAAGAGTGATGATGTGGATTATGCATATTTTCTTCTGCGCTGTGGATGATCACTGAGTTTAGAAGAGGGAAAGGTGAGTGCTCCTTGAGCAAACTGTAGTAAGAGCCTGCCCCACTCCAAGGGTTAATCACTGGCAAGTCTCACTAGTATTGATGGGTCACAACTAGATCAGGAGCAGGTCTGCAGGGCTGATGACATGGGCTATCCGGCTGGGAGTGGGAGTGACGGCTTCCTGGCAGCAGGTCTCAAGGATGGGAAGGATCCAAAGAGCCAAAGCAGAGCACCAGGCTGGGTGAGGCCAGGGAAAACCAGTGTTCATGAACAAGAACAAAAGCTATTCAAAGGGATTCAGATTTTGAGGCAGTTCTTGACGCATCTACTTTTACAATGAATAACTTTGTGAGGTAGTTTCAGAGAGAGAGTAGAAACACAGCTTTTTCAAATCACTGCAGCTGGAGGAAACTGAGACGATACAAACATTTTCCTGTAGTGACAGTCTTTCTGTTTGAAAGGAACCAGTCTCAATTTTAAAAGTAAAGGTTCAAAATATGCAATGTGCACTGAAATTGATTTTTTTTTGTATTTTACCATCTAAAATGTGCAAACAATACAAGAATCAATAATAAAACCAAGGAACGGCTGTACAACTCATTAAAGTCATCTTGCAACCTTCACTGTTGAAATAAGCTCCTATTTGTGGAAGTAGTCCTACTAGCTCTTTTTTCAAATAAGGACTGCATCCTAAATTCAAGTTTCCCATTGCAAATCATTCCTCATATCACCAGTTCGGTTTCAATCAGTGGGACAAGTCATATGAGTAAGAACTACTCATGTGAATAAACTAAGAAATGTTTTGTAGGACCAGGCTCTTTGATTGCCATGGCAACAGAATTATTAAGCTTTGGGCATAATTCATTTTTCCCTTCTAAAAAAAATGATTTTTCCTTTTACCCATGTGCATCCTTTTGCCTTGTAATTAGGACAAAAAAAAGGTTAACTACATTCTTCAAGATCATGCAACTATATAGATGCATTGTTCAGTGAAGAATTATCAGAGTTTGCAAAGTTTACTTTTATTAATGGTCTCCAAATCTGAGAGAAGTATGTTTTTACTGGAATCATTCATTGTCTTATTTATCATTGTGACAGTATTAACATTGTTACTAGGTATTATTGTCAATAATTTCTGTAGCTCGTCAAAAAAATGAATTCCTTTAAAAGATCACTGAACCTACAAAAACACTCACTGTTATTAAGTAGACTTACCAAGTTTTCTACTGTATTAAATATGTGCATTTTTTAATTAATAGATGATGTTTAGCTTTTTAGTAGATCCAGGAATACATTTATCTCCAGGGTATGGAAACACAGTGTGAAGTCATAACTGAACTTCCTACAGGATATAGATAGATATATTGATACAGACAGCATAAAAGCACCTGAATTTTCTTTCCCCACTCCATATTGGATGCTTATAAAAGTCAATATTATCAGGACATAACAAGTAATACCTCCTTCATTGTAATATGTAAAGAATAGCTCCTTTCCAGAATACAGTGTGCAGTAAATTTTTTAGCATTAGGTTATGCAGTATGGAAGAAAGAAAAATGTTAGAAAAAACACTCACAAATATAAATATAATCCTCCATATATATATCCTATATAATAGGATAAAATATATCCTTTAAAATATATCCTATACGCTAATGCAGCAATAGGTTAGTTGCATTTATCCGTAAAACAGCAACACATACATCCCAAGAATAGTCGATTGTTTTCTAAGGAATATATGATTTGTGAAAGAAGCTTTTGTGCATGATAAAAGATGTTTTTAGCGGACATTTGTTTTTAGCAGACATTTCTGTCAATGATTTACTGAGGCTTAGAACTCTCTCTTTAGTGACTTTTTTAATCATTGGCTTTTAAACAGTTGCACAACAGCTGTATTTGGCTTTCCCTCTCTCTGTGAATTCTAAAGCAAGTGTAATTAGTAATTTCCTTTTCTTTTAACATACTATTCAATAAGAGTCTGATGCTGCAAACACATGTATTTAATTCCAATTCATTGAACTATTTCATTGGATAAATTATGTGAATTAGAGCTTGTACCATCTGCATTATCAGGGCAGTTATACTGAGTAGCAGAAATGCTTTCCACACTCGCCGCAAGTCTTCCTATTCAACAAAAATGTGCTTTAATAATACGGCATATAAGCAATTCCTGTACTTGGAATGCCTTGAGCAGCCTTGATTCAAGACCCAACAAAAACCCGTTCTTTTCTGCAAGGCCTATCGGAGGGAAAAAAAAAAAAAGCTTTTGTTTAAAAATAAATAGTTATGGAAAGTATATTCATTTTACAAGAAATTTCAGTAGTTCCACATTTGTATTTATCATAAACCAGGACACAAAAATGAAAAATTGAAAACTGAATTGATATTTTTTTAAAAAAATGAAAAGCTCTGATAATACATATGTATGGCAATACTGCTTTCAAAATGACACAACATTTAATTTTAACATTTTTAATCAGACTGTCTCATTTTTCCTCCAAGAAGCTGCAGATATCTGTTTTCCCTAGTGAAGAGTTGCAACTGTGTTAAAATCTTTCTTTTTATTTTGACAGGGAAATGTTATGTTGCACTTTTTCTAACTGCATCTGTTATAGCTGCCCCAGTATTTATTGTTTTTACAGGTCAGCTCTTTAATTACAAGCTCTTGGAAGGCCCAGCTTCAGCACTACTGTTGTATAGCCCTGTGTCTTTGATAGGGAGCAGCAGCTCCTACCCAGCCTATGGTAGATGTGAGTTCTGATTATGATTCTCCCGCTTAATTATCCCTATGTCTCCAGTTAAAAGCAGGCTTCCATTTTGCTGTGAGTTGTACAACTACCAGGAGAAGCAGTTTCTACTGCAAAACTCTATTTTTCAAAAGACATGAATGCAGGGAGTAGAATTAATCGAGTATTAATATCCCTATTAAATAGATAAGGAATTGAGGGATAAAAATAAATGCCCTAAGCTATACTGGCAAAGGAAGAGTTCAGAACTGAGCCCAAATGTCCTTATTCTCAGTTCATCATTGTCCCTGCAAGGTTATTCTTCATTTTATTCATTTTTGCTTAATGATTTGCATTTGGACTTTTGAGTAAATATTAGTTGAAGCATCAAATTTGAAAAGGAATTTTTGATGCGTACTTCCTTTCTAGTATTATACAGTTGTCCTACAAATTCTTTTATCTCTTCTGAGCCATTCTGTTTGAATGTAGTCATTAATTATGTAGTGGATAGGGAACTATATCCTAGATTAAACAGCAAATTCCAAATATAAACATCCTAAACGGGCCATACAGATTTTAAGGTGCACATATGCATCTGTTTATACTGCCAGGATTTAAGAATACTTATGGGGGTATGTAATGATTTTCAGGGCTCTTGGTAAATGAATCCAATCTAAACACAGACAAAAATCCCATTGTAAAATAAAGACTGATGATTTCTTATCTAGAATTCACGCAGGCCATTATGAATACTGCACATGTGCACAAAAAGATGACACAGACAATATGGTACCCAGCAGAGGTTCTCATTAGCCACAGTACGACTCCTTTGTCCAAGGTAATCTTTCAGCTTTTTATCCTCTTTATGAAAAGGAAAAAGACAGCTTGACCAAAAGTACTTAGTGGCTAAAAATACATCAGAAATTAGAAGAAGAAGAAGAAAAAAATAAAGCTATCCTGGCATCCTAATATAAATCCAGGATAATATTGTACATGTTGAGAAGGAAGAAAAGCTTTGTGCAAATATGCCAGAGTTTCACATGAATTCTACAGCAGAATATCCCAGAACTGAGATATGAGTATCTGCCTAACTCAGGTCTTATAGAGCTCCGAGTGTGTCACTGTG